AGATGTGTATAAAATAACAATTACTATCAACACTGCAGTACCCACTGCTTACTTGGACTCAAATTCAACCCTGGCCATCAGGCGCAAGCTCGGTGGTCTAGAGGTATGATGCCAGGCTAGTGATCTGGAGATCGTGGGTTCAAGTCCCACCCGAGAACAACTTGCGATTTTTTTCGCAGTTGTTTTCAAATGTACTGAGTATTTGGTACATTTCCACGTAAGGTGGGGCAAAATTACACGTATACATGTTTCTCCTGACGCAAATCCAGTTGTCTATTATTCCATCACGACAATAACAATTACTATCAACACTGCAGTACCCGCTGCTTACTTGGACTCGAATTCAACCCTGGCCATCAGGCGCAAGCTCGGTGGTCTAGAGGTATGATGCCAGGCTAGTGATCTGGAGATTGTGGGTTCGAGTCCCACCCGAGAACATGCGATTTTTTTTTTCTCAGTTATTTTCAAATGTACTGAGTATTCAGTACATTTCCACGTCAGGTAGGGCAAAATTACATCTATACATGTTACTCCTGACGCAAATCCAGTTATTGTCTATTATTCCATCACGACAATAAAAATTACTATCAACACTGCAGTACCCGCTGCTTACTTGGACTCGAATTCAACCCTGGCCATCAGGCGCAAGCTCGGTGGTCTAGATATGATGCCAGGCTAGTGATCTGGAGATCGTGGGTTCGAGTCCCACCTGAGAACAACTTGCGATTTTGTTCGCAGTTGTTTTCAAATGTACTGAGTATTCGGTACATTTCCATGTCAGGTAGGGCAAAATTACACCTATAGAATAATGCATATCAAATCAGTTGCAATGCCTATTGACTAAATCAGGTCTTGAGAAATAATGTAGTTGCTATGACCTGATGTTTTTCAAAGTTTGATTATTGTTGCTATTATCTAATAAGAGCAACAGAAATTATTAATTCCTTGAAAAGATTAAGCTGGGTCCAGCTAAAGCTTGAAAAATAAAAGACTTATACATTAAAATTTTTATTAGTTCAAAAATTGGATCATCCAAAAAAAAAATTTTAAGAATAAAATCTATTTATATGGACCCCAACCAAAATAAGCACTCAAAGCTATATTGGGTATTCCAGAAAAATATGTAATAACATATTTAAATTTTGTTTCTGAATCTTCTAAAACAATCATAAAATCAAATAAAATCACAATCTTTATAGTAGTTACTTCTATACAATTGTCTGCCTCTGTTTCAATCTGTATGGTATAAAAAAAATACAAAGCTAAAATGTTGATTTTACTTACAATCCAATGATCTTCGTGACAACCGACGATCACCTTTACTATTATTCAGTATAAATGCAGCTTGTGCAACTACAACAGAATAAATGCAACAGAAACAAGACAGTTAATAATTATAGTGATGTCATCATTGTAACTCGTAATAAACAACAAAAAAAACTGCAAATTTAATATAATAATAATTTCCACTAGTTTATGATATACAACATATTAATAAATGCTTAGTATTACACACATAAAGAAAATCATTTTTAATATTCAGTATTTAATACTCAATACTTTACAAATTTCATGGGCACAATTAAAAATTGAATTTCAACAATGGGCATCATAAACAAGGTTTGATAGTACATTATCATCAGAAAACTTGAAACCAACATACAGGAAATAAGATTTATAGAAGTCTGATTATGACAGAATAGGCACAAGATGGTAGACTAATGTATATAAGACTGACAGACATTAACAAACCTTGGAAAAACTCATCATCGTCTTTTTTATGGAATATAACATCACCCTGTGAGGGTGCTACATCATAGCGTGCACCACGTGAAAATGGTGATCGTGAGTACTTGATCTGGCTGTCATTGTCATCTGGATGTGTGTTTGCTAACCACAAACGATTTGGGTTACCATAAACAGCTTCTATATATAACACAAATCATGCAGTTATTTCATGCAGTGAAGTAACAAATGTAGCAATATCTTAACTGTAAAGTCAGAAAGGTTTAATTACCACCACACCATTATTAAATGTGTTATGTTGCCAAATGTTCTAATGAGGATATTGATTTTTTTAAAAGTTATATACTAAGTCATTTATGTTGTGGCAGACAAAAACCTTTGGGTATAGTAACTTGTTCCTCTTTTGTTCTGAACCCTCCTCCTTCATTTTTGTATGATGTTATAAATTTGAAGGAAATAAGATATTATTATCATTATGTATAAACACAACTCCTCCATCAATTTTATATATTTCCCTTGTCCTTTTTTTGTCTAGCAATGACATGAAAGCATGTGCTTCCTCTGTTCTACACTATTACAGTATGTGCAATGTAGTTAGTAGCGGAGCTATAGCTTTCAGGTTAGACACTTAGGGCCCGTTAGAGCAAAAAACGCCAACCGTATTCCATTTATTTCACCAGGTAATCGCGCTGTGCACTCAGCAGGTGGTCGACCGTAAAATACTGTATGTGTAACGAAATTATTCCGTAAGTAAATTTCAACTTATCCCATGGTCAACAACCCATTCTTTGTTTACTTGCTACTGCTGCTATAACCATATATACCTCCTTGCTATAACCAGCCCACGTAGACATAGACATAGACATCACTTTATTAATCCAAATCCTTGGAAATTACATTGCTCTTTCAATAAATTAAGCAGGAAAAGTAATTCAATGCAATCTATCTTACATATCTACCATTAAACAGGTAAATGCCCCTCGCAATGAATGAGTTAGAATAACGGTTCGTGTTAGCAGCCGGTACCCTCAGTCTACCGCTGCGTTGTATAACGCAACTAGCAATAGTTGAATGTAACGGGTGACTTTCGCACGTTATCAAACTTATTAACTAGTCGTTCTTCGTAGACTGAGTGCACCGATTGCAGTTCCGAACCGATAATCTTCCCAAACCTGTTAACAAACTTCTGTAATCTGTCCCTATCACCTTGTGAAATAATCCCACCCCAACAAACTAAGCAGTAACAAAGTAATCCGAGAATAATAGAATTATAAAATGACAGCATTATCTCCTTCCTGACCTGAAAAGAATTAAGTTTCCTAAAGCAAAACATTCTCACATTAAGTTTCTTAACTAAATGGTCACAGAAAATTCCCCACGACAGTTGATTATCATAGATTACCCCCAGATATTTATACGATGTAACGTGTGCTATTTCTTTATTTTCAATAATGATACTTTCTTCCTTAACCCGCTTTTTTCGAAAATCAATCACCATTTCTTTCGTTTTCTCTGTATTAATTTCAAGAAAGTTATCTTTACAATAAGACACAAACCTTTGAATTTCTGAAATATACAAAGACAGGTCGTCCTTCCTAATTAGACCCAAGATTACGTACACACAGCGCGGCACTGTGGAACGATAATGTAGCTCAATAAATTATAATGGCTGCTTTAAAATCTGTACGTAGGCTAGTTTATTCAAGTTTATTTCTCCGAATAATGGTAAATCTACAGATGCTACTAAATTTAGATTTCGTCGTGCATGTGTGAGGAGGCGAAGGGGAGCTGCAACCACGCCTGGGCCGTAACCTATTGAATTTGGCGCTGGGCTGTGGACAAAACATTTGGAAAAACAATTAAGGTTGATTTATCATTGCCTCCGGCTCCAAGGTCATTCCATACATGGTATTCTACCCAGCAATTTGGTAATTACCCAAATGGTAAGGTAATTAGACTAGTGTCCAAGCGGTTTTAGAAAGTGTGTACTGGTGAATTAACTAGTAAATCGCACAGATATTTTTTCGCTCGAACGGGCCCTTACTTTCTAATCTAGGATCCTGGGTTAAACTCCTGTCAAGTAACAGGAATTCTACTTATGTATGAAACCAACTCCACTCAAAATGCCACTTTTCAGAGTTAATTTACTCATGTTTTGTTACATGACTAATGATTGGATCTTCTAGAGCATAATGAGTGAAAAAATGCTTCACCACGAACAGGTACTTTGTTGTCTATACACATGCTTGGTGGGTCAATGAGTGTGGCATTCTTAACACATATTGTTTTGCTTTACCAATTAACAGGTACTTTGTTCTCTATGCACATGTTTGGTCGGTCAGTGAATATATGAGTGTGGCATATCTTAACACATAGTTTTCTTTTACCAACGAACAGGTCTATGCACATGCTTGGTGGGTCAATGTGTATATGAGTGTGTCATATCTTAACACACACTGTTTTGTTTACCAATTAACAGGTACTTGGTTCTCTATGCACATATTTGGTCAGTCAGTGAGTATATGTGCTGTCTCTTATACACATCTAGATGTGTATAAGAGACAGGTAGACATAGACATAGACATAGACATCACTTTATTAATCCAAATCCTTGGAAATTACATTGCTCTTTCAATAAATTAAGCAGGAAAAGTAATTCAATGCAATCTATCTTACATATCTACCATTAAACAGGTAAATGCCCCTCGCAATGAATGAGTTAGAATAACGGTTCGTGTTAGCAGCCGGTACCCTCAGTCTACCGC